CAAGTGAAAAAAAAAAAAAGGAAAAGCTCTCAAACCACAATCCTAACTTTGTACCTTAAATTGTTAGAAAGAGAAGAACAGCCTAAACCCAAAGCTAGGAGAAGGAAAGAAATACTAAAGGTTAGAACAGAAAGAAATGAAATAGAAGATGAATCAGTGACCAAAAACTTGACAAGAAAGTACAAGAACAGATGGCTTCATGGGTGACTTGTACCAAACATTTACAGAATATATATCAATCCTGCTCACTTCTTCCAAAATACTGAGGAAAGAATACCTCCAAACTCATTCTGTGAGGCCAGCATTACTGATACAAAGACAGACAAAGCAGCAGAAGAAAACACACCACTATTCCTGATCAATACAGATGCAAAAGTGCTCAAGAAAATACTAATGAGAATTCAACAGCATCATAGAAGCATTATATAACATGATCAAGTAAGATTTATTCCTGGAATGGAAAGGTGGTTACCATATAAACATTAGGGTAAGACACCACATTAACAGAATGAAGTAAAGAAAACACATAACGACTTGTTTCAATTAGTACAGAAAAAGCATTTAATGAAGTTTAATATCCTTTCATGATTAAAAACATACTTACTAGAAATTGAAACAATCTCAAGGTAATAAAGGTCATATGAACAACCTCCAGCTAGTATCACTCAATGATGAGAGACAAAGTTTTCCAAGATGAGCAATAAGACAATGATGCCTGCTTTCATAACACTGGAAATCCTAGCCAGAGCTATTAAGAAAGAAAGGAAAAAGAAAAGGCATCTAAATTGGAAAGGAAAAAGTAAAATTTTCTCTGTTATCAAATGACATGATCTTCTTTGTAGAAAATCCTGAAGACTGCACAAAATAAACTGTTAGAACTAATAATTTGTCCAAGTTTCAGGATTATGAAATCAACATACAAAAGTCAGTTTCATTTCTACACACTGTCAACAATCTAAGAAGGAAATTAAGAAAACAGTTCCTGCTGGCTTAGTTGTGGATACCTATAGTCCCAGCTACTTGGGAGGCTGAGGTAGGAGAATCGCTTGAGCTTGGGAGGTCAATGCTGTCAGTTTTTATAATGATTATGCCTGTGAATAGCCACTGTACCCTAGCCTGGGCAACACAGTGAGACACTATCTTAAAAAAAAAAGGAAAAAAGTCAGTTTACAATAGCAACAAAAAGAATAAAACAGGAATAAACTCAACCAGGAGGCAAAGGCTTTGGCAGGATTTTGAGTTCCAGAGACCGGTTGTGTAATAAATGTAAAGGCACTGGGCTGCCAAAGGCTTCAAACTCCTTCACCTTCTACTCTAATTCCAGCTCCTTGACAAGGGCAAGATTCTTGGCTGGGACAGAATAACCGCATGGAATGCCAGGAAACTCAGAATGGCATGTGCTTCAAATGCAGGGAAGAAGAGCTGTTTGCCATTGCACTCAAAATACTTCTGAAGACATGAAACTCTCCCACTGGTCTGGGTAATTCTCCGCCTTCCTCCACACCTCCACTGTAAACCAAGAGACACTACGGCCAGCAAGTCCCAGCCCTGCAGAGAGCTCTACCGGCTCCTGTTCATGCCCAAGATATTTATTAACTTATTCAACAGCCATGTGGGAAGACACTGCTTCAGAACACTGACTGTGTGCAGGAGGACACGAAGTCGGGTTCTCAGCTGCCTGGTCCCGGCTTCCCCTGCCTGACCCAGGGGTCTCCTGAGGCAGGAGCTTCTTTGAGGGGAACTGATAGCTCTTCAGAAGCCTGATAGAGAGCTGCTCTCTGGGGTAGACACATGAGGACTGAAGGCTTTCAAGGGCCTCTGTTTTGGTAGGGGCACCTGTGAACTCAGGCTCCCAGGCTAGAGCATTCAGTTTTTTTTACTTTCTTTTGGAACATAACCTTTTCCTTTGAGTTTTCAACTGAAGAATAAACATAGCAGAATCCAAGAATGTGTCTCTGGATTGCTGGGGCTGATCAACTCAGGAGATGGGGAGACGTGGGCAGTTATGCAATCTTCTCACCGATAGGGGGAGCCCTCTTTGGGCTGAGCATTTGGTAGTAGATTGTAGGTTCCAGATTTTAGAGCAAAGGGCCAGGTGTCAGCCACAGGGACTGAGGCAAGCTGAAGGCCAGACTCCAGACTTGGCTGTCCCTGACCTCCCCACCCATGAGTCCCTGGTGCACTGCAGGTGCTAGATGAAGTTCAGAAGAAAGAACTCCAGGGTAAATAGGAATGAAAAGGTTGGTCCTCCACATTCCCATGCTGGAGGGAAGAGAAGGGAGGGTGGCTGGGATCTGAGTGTTTGCTATGGTTACAGCCTAAAGACCCTGAGCCCAGGCACTGCTCCAAGTGCCTTGAAAGATGTTTGATCTTAAGCCTTACAATAGTCCAATGAGAAATGGATAATCTCCTTAATGAGGAAAGAAACAAAGGCTCAGAGAGTTGAGGGGATTCCCCCAAGGTCATATAACCTACAAATGGCCAGGACGGTGCTGATGCGGGCCTGTGCCTCCCACTGCTGCCCAAGCTCAATCACCCCTCACCACTTCTGCTTTTGCAATAGCCTTATATCACATACTCTACCAGTTACTTTATGAAAGTCAAGGAAACTTTAGCCATTTCCCAAGCCATAACAGGTAGCTCCTGTTCAAAATACCCTGTAAATCAGGTCATGCAAGATCAGATATGCACCCACAACTGTTACAGGTGCTGTTTTGGGGAACTCAGCCTAGGAATATGAGCGAAGAGACAACTCACAAAGAAAAGCAAATCACTGGCACGCAGGGAGCCCTGAGCAATTCAGAGTCAGAGGCGACTAGAGTGTGCAGCCACCTGACCTGCTGGTTTCCCAATATGCTTAATGGATCCATGATGTCGGGTCCACAAAGGAAATGCAGAAGCCTTCCCTTCCTGACTCCCACACTCTGTGGGTCAAGTATTTACCAAAAACACAGCAGTGGACTGGACACTAGCAGAGATACAAAGAGGGAGAAACAGTTCTCCCTTCTCAAGGCAGGTTGGACAACATCAATATTTTGCAGTTAGGATGTGCAGGTGGAGTGTGTGTGCATGCCCAGAATTTAAAGACGAACAGATGGGAGAGGGAATGATTCCAGCAGAAAGACCAATAAATATTCACATCTACAACATACACTGAACTGCAGCCTAGACAACATAGCAAGGCTCTGTCTCCATGAAAATTTTAAAAATAAGCTGGGCTTGGTGGCACATGCCTGTAGTGCCAGCTACCCAGGAGGCTGAGGCGGGAGGATCACTTGAGTCCAGAAGTTTAAAATTACAATACACTGTGATTACATCACTGCACTCCAGCCTGGATATCAGAGCAAGGCCCTATCTCCAAAAAAGCAAGACATTTACAGAAAAATCAATATATGAAAATCCAAAATAAAGTATTAGCAAATAAACTCCACTGGGGCTTGAAAAAAAACTTACCTAAACCAAGAGAGACTTGTACAGTGTAAAAAGGCTCAAAATTAGAACTTGTTCATTTTACTTAATATGTTGAAAATCATAATCATCATAGATGTTGAAAAGGCATTTGACAAAATTTACTACAAAATTTAAAAAAGAAACATCAAATTAGAAAGAGGGATACTTCCTTAAATTACACACAATAAAGGAAATTAAACCCAGACACACACCTATCAAGCCAAAGCCCAGCATCATTTGTAAGGCACGGAAGCAACAGAAACTTCCATCAACCTTTGGAACAAAAGAATACCCTCTGTTACCATTATTATATTGGAGGCCCTATCTGATGTAACTAGGCAAGGAAAGTAAGACTTTAAAGAAAAAAGCAGAAGGTGAAATAGTTATATTTACTCTGAAAAATGAGGCAGACAGATTTTGCTAAGGAGTTAGGTACAAAGGAACATACTAAACAGCCTTCCTTTTTCTTAATTTTTAAACTATAGAGATGGGGCCAGGCACAGCTCATGCCTGTAATCCCAGCACTTTGGGAGACCAAGGCAGGTGGATTGCTTGAGGTCAGGAGTTTGATACTAGCCTGGCCAACATGGAAAAACCCTGACTCTACTAATAATACAAAAATTAGCCGGGTGTGGTGAAACACACCTGTCATACCAGGTATTCGGCAGGCTGAGGCATGAGAATTGCTTGAACCTGAGAGGTGGAGGTTGCAGTGAACTGGAACTACACTACTGCACTCCAGCCTGGGCGACAGAGCAAGACCCTGTCATAGATAGATTAGATTAGATTACAGTAAATTAGATTAGATAGATGATGATAGATAGATAGATAGATAGATAGACAGACAGACAGATAGAGATAGGGTCTTATTATGCTGCCCAGGCTGGTCTCAAACTCCTCGGCTCAAGCAATCCTTCTGCCTCAGGCTCCCAAAGTGCTAGGATGACAGGCCTGGGCCACCACACCTGGCCTCTGACAGTCTTCCTATGCACAAACAAGCAGTTGGAAAAGAGAAGAAAAGATCCCATTTGCAACAGCACACCCCAAAAAACCAAAACTCTCAGAAATCAATATGCAAAAATATGCACACACCATCCATATGAAGAAATCTTTCAATGAAACACTTTGAATGCAAAGAAAGCCACGCTGCACATGTTATTGAGAAAGATTCAACATTAAAAAGATGTCACGGCCAGATGTGGTAGCTCACACCTGTAATCCCAGCACTTTGGAAGGCTGAAGTGTGTGGATCACAAGGTCAGTAGTTTGAGACCAGCCTGAGCAGCATAGTGAAACCCTGTTTCTACTAAAAATACAAAAAAATTAGCCGAGCATGGTGACCTGCATCTGGAGTTCCAGCTACTCAAAAGGCTGAGGCAGAATTGCTTGATCCAGCAGGCAGAGATTGCAGTGAGCAGAGATTGCACCACTGCACTCCAGCCTGGGTGACAGAGTGAGACTTCATCTCAAAAAAACAAAAAGATGTTACTATAAATATCAAGTGGGGGTGTGTGGAAATGGGGTCTTCACACATGCTGGGGGAACATAAGACAGCATGGCCACTCCAAAAGACAGTTTGGCAGTTTCTCAAAAGGTAAATATAAATTTACCTTATGGAGTTGGATACTGTGGCTCAGACCTGTAATCCCAGCATTTTGGGAGGCCAAGGTCGGTAGGTAGATCACCTGAAGTCAGGAGTTCGAGACCAAACTTGGCCAACATGGTGAAACCTCATCTCTTCTAAAGATATAAAAAAGTAGCCCAATGTGGTGCGGGTGCCTGTAATCCCAGCTACACAGGAGGCTGAGGCAGAAGAATAGCTTGAAAGTGGAAGGTAGAGGTTGCAGTGAGCTGAGATCACACCACTGCACTCCAGCCTCAGTGACAGAGCCAGACTCTATCACAAAAAACAAACAAAAATAGGTGTGGTGGCACATGCCTGTAATCCCAGCTACTCGGGGGGCTGAGGCAGAAGAATCACTTGAACCCAGGAGGTGTAGGTTGCAGTGAGTCAAGATCATGCCACTGCACTCCAGCTTGGGCAACTGAGACTGTCTCCAAACAAATAAGTGTCAACCTCAGTGGCCCTTTGTATACTCACAGAATGGTGCATCCATCACCACAATTGATTTTAGAACATTTTCATTTCCCCAACAAGGAACTCTGCTATCCTTGGTCATCACCCCTCCCAATCCTTCCTTCCACCCCCAGCACAAGGTAACCAGTAATCTGCTCCCTGTCTCTCTGGATTTTCCCATCTGGGCATTTCGTATAAATGGAATGATACCGTATGTGGCCCTTGGTGACTGGCTGCTTGGACTTGACATAAAGTGTCAGGCTCACCCACATGTGGCCCATGTCTGTGCTTCATTCCTTTTCACTGCCTTATTGCCCAAGTGGTGTCATAAGCACTGCAGGTGAACTGTGAAAAGTAAGGATGTGTGTTGTAATCCCTAGAACAATTGTTAAAGAAAGCACATATAGCTAAAAACATAGAGCAAAAAGATACAGCCAAAAAGCCACTAGAGATGAAAGGATACGCGAAGAATCACTCCATTTATCCAAAAGAAGGCAGGAAAGGAGGAACAAAAAACAAAAGAGAAATACTACTAAAAATACAAAAAAA